TAATTAATTCAATTTTGATTAACGGCGATGGATAGGGCTCAACAATATCTACATAAAAAAAAATAGTATATTGTGCATCAAGGGCGGAAAGTCATGTTTTCCCGCCCGAGGTGCACATGCTATTTTTCGTCCCGGCGGGCGCAAAGTTACATTTCCCTCCCACTTCGCGGGAGGGAACTCTGACTTTGCGCCTACGCCGAGACGGAAAATCGCGTTCTAACCACGGGAAGTAAAATAAAGGACCCTCAGCCGCGTGCTTACCAACCTCGCCTTCGGCTCGGCTGGTAATTGCACTGGCGGCTGAGGATCCTTTATTTTCCCTCCCTAGGTTAGAAATATACTATTTCAACACGCCTGCAAAGGAAATTTCGTATTTTGCTCTTTGATGAGCGGGAGCAAAGTACGAACTTTCCGTGCAGGTGTGTGAAAAAAGATTGAATTCCATCGATTCATTAGCGAGAAATGAAAGAAAAAGTTTGAAAAAATTTGTTACATACATACACACATACGTACGGACGACGTCTAAAAATTGTATTTTCGGACTTTCTGGATCATAATAAAGTCGATATAACACAAAAAATCGAACTTTTTTTTGAACGATTACAATGCTTCCATTCGGAAGCAAAAATTGTCTGGTAGAATTGGGCTCAGATGACTCAGCATTATCCGAAACGTGGAGATTTTATATTTACTGGGAAAGTGTTTATACGACCTTTTGGCCTGAATTTTCCAAATTTTTCAAATTCCTTGTAAAAAAGTAAAAAATTTGATTCCGAAAAGATAAGCTCAGATGACTCAGAATCATCTGAAACGTGGAGATTTCATATCCTCTGGGAAAGTGTTTATACGACCTTTTGGCAAAAATTTTCGTGAAAACCAAAAAAAAAATGTGTATACGACCTTGTGGCACAACTCACGCGAATTATCCACTTTAGGGGATAGTGAATCTGCACGGTTCAGATGGAATTGGGAAATTTGAAATTGGGCCAAAAAGGAAAAAATAGTATCTTATGTCATAAGGCGATAAAAGCATTATCTACCGAATGTGAGTTTATAATCCGAGCCGAAGACGAGGACATACGATATTTCCGCGTCTCGCGGATGCCGTGTGACAGACGATATTTTATGTGGTTGGGCCCGAAAACCGTAATCTAATCGAGCGAAGCGAAAAGTAATCTTTAGTTTACAGTAATCGTAAAAAAAAGTAATTCACTTCTAACTGTAATAGAAATCTCTCTATATAATAAAAAAATATACGCCGAAAATTCAGGGGACGCTTCTCCTCCCCTCCGCCGCTTCCTCCTCCCCCGGCCCCTTCCTCCTCTCACCGCCCCACTCCCTTTACCGTTCGACCCCTCATCGCCCCTGAAAGAGAGGAGCCTGCAGATCCACCTTCCCTACGAGGCCTAAATATGAGGCTTATATATGAGGCCTATATATGAGGCTTATATATGAACCAACTTTTATGAGGCAATCTTTTGCACGAAGGGGAGTAGTGTTACGTATCCCCCTTTGAACCCCTTTAAATTGTAACCAGTCTGAAGGATGTCACATAAACCCAACTTGAAACGATTCTTCAAGAAATCCATTTCAAATGTTCCTGGATAGATCTCCAAAATTAATAAACCACCGCAACCATTTTATTAATTTGTGTTATGTGTTTCATTATTTCACTGAATATAACAATAGCCTGCCTGTTAGATATAGAATAAAAATAAGACTGGACTTTAAGTGACTATACTTAACTGAAAAACTGTTATCAATAAAATATTTCTTAGAAGGGGGGAGCGAGCCCAGCGAGCGGAGGAAAACGAAAGTATATGAAGGCTCCTACATATGAGGCACTATAAAATAAAAAAATACCCACAAAATCTATGGGGTTATATGAGGGTCATATGTTGGTTGGAGCCTTTCTCTGTATCGCGGAAACTAACAGCTGCATTTTAACCACACCAAAGAACAAAAAATAGTATCCAATAGTTTGTGACGACACGGGTCGCCTACCCGTAATTGATTTTTTGTTTATAAAATTTGTTTATTTCCATTTTTAAATGAAAAATGAGACCTTCTTCTAAGGCAAAATTATTAAAAATTCGCCTCTAGGAGACTTCTCTCATCCATGAGAATCGGGAAAGGAAACACTCCAACCCTTTCCCAATTCTAATACCATTTGCCCTGTAAAAATTCTTCTTTTATCTTTGTTGAGGTCTCAAAACCTCCAACCATCATTTCACTTGTAAATATTCCATATTTTTCTCTCATGAAATTATATTTTCTTCATTTTTGTATCTAAAAGTGTGTTTTTCTTTGTGTATGAGTAGAAGTTAATTACAAGGTGGGAGTATTATCCTCCCTCCCCCTCGTAACAATAGGGTCTACTCTAAAACCTGAGCTACCAGCTATTGAATTTCATCAAAATTGTTAAAACATCGAAATTGAGAGTCGTCTCCTAGCCAGAGCGAGATGTAGTCGGAAAATTGTATTGTCTGCCAGATTGGCATTTATTTTATTTATTTTGAGTTTAAAAAATTATTATTTTTTATTATGGAGGTTGCTGTCTATCCTGGAGCAGGTGATTTCTCACCAATCGACAGGTGGGCAGAGCCGAAGTGTTATTAAATTTGAGTGAAGTTGTAAAATTGTAGCCTTTGTCTTGGCTATTCTTGAGAAAGGGTCCAAGATGGCGTCTTTTCTAATTTTTCATTATATTTTCGTGAGTTGAGGTTGTTGTGATCAACTCCTCTGATTAATTCATTCACTTTTGTTATCGTCAAATAAATTTTTGGTTAAATTTCCGAATTAATTATATTTTGATGTGAGACATTGATTTTTGATGGATTATCGATCCATTATTCTCGTAAATTTATCATTTTTGTCGTTGAGGAAGCTCTAAAACCTCCAATCATAATTTTCTTGTAAATTTCTTCATATTTAGCTTTTTTGGAATTATATTGTTGTTGATTTTTCATAAAATTGGTACTCTCATTGTGTGGGTGTGGAAGGTAAAATTTCAGTTCCAGTTATTAGGAGGCCACATAAAGTTAAAGTTTTAATTTTTTTTCTTTTTTACTAGATATATTCTTTTTCTTTTATATATATATTACATAATCATCCCTAAAAATGAAAAAGAACGCAAAACGCGAAAGCGAAACGAAGAAGAAGATGAAGAGAATTATGACGATTCCGAATAGATTATTCAGCAATTAAATTCTGATGGTGAAAAACTTTGTTGATACCATTTATTTTTCCTATTATTATTGAGATAAAAATTAATGAAATTGAGAAACGGTAAGATTTTACTACTCTGGCACCCACGGAAAGCAATACGCGCTCTATTCTAGAATTAGAAATTGAAATGTATTTGGCACTGGATGTCGAAAAATTCCTCACTACGGACGGTTTATGTGAATTTGATACAATTATCTAAAAGAAATAACAATTGATTGCTCAATACAATGATTGCAAATCAATACAATGGAAACTCCTGATTACTGATTGTTGTTTAATATTGATGTTAGTCTTAATGGATCGGGTCAACACTATCAGTCGTATCGATTTCGGGAGTATTACACATAACAGGGCCGTTCCTATCTGGCGATAAGCTTAGGCTCAGGTTATTATAAAAGAGGTAGTTTGCTTGCCGAGGTAGTTTCAATCTGTATATTGATATTCGATCGTAGTTACCAAATTTTTTTGATGAGAACATTCTCCAAGACCATAATCATGAATCGTAAGTACATTCAATCAAGAATCGGAAATATTCTATTTTTAATTCAGGCAAACGAGTAATCTTGCTTCGAGGATATTAATATACTTATAATGGAAGTATAGTTCTTTGGTGAATGCAGCATTATAGTCTTGATTCAAGAATATTATTCCTGACTATGCAGGACGTCCTTAAACGCGATAGCCAAATTTAGGGGGTGAATGTAGGGATAATTTTAGGTTGAAAAAGTCTTTTGGGATTTTTTCAACAGTTGAACTACTATTCAAAAAGGGAAACTACACAAGTAGGGAATGGATGCTTCTACTAACGAAAAAGTAGTCTATATGCAATTTCCGGATATATTGATGCCCTCTCCTACAGGCATTATGGTTCTCCCTTGTATACAGCAATTTGTTTACTTCCGAATGGAAGCTTTGCATTTGTTGGATTTTGGCATATTCTAATTGTGCTCGGAAATTATGTAGAATGCAATGAAACATCAAGAAATGATGTTTTTACCGCATGTCGGCACGTATGTGTGTGATAATTTTGGTTTTGCGTTATTTATTTTGAGAAAATATGGCATGAAATTGGTGAAATTCGTCGCACATCCAAAATTCACACACAGTTTTCAAGGAAAATTTTTTTTTTTAATTTTTTAAGTCCATCTTCATAAATTCTAGTAAAAAAATCTCAACCGAATTAGTAATATGGAAAACGAACATCCATTGTATTTGTTCGGTAAAAAATATTTTTTGAAAAACGCGTGGGGAAGTGGCACAGTCTTCAAGTCTATTGATTGCCTCGATTCAGGATTTTTGATATTCATGAACTGAGAATTACATATTTACGATTAGAAAATATTTCCTTCCATAAATCTTCTAAAGAGAGATGAAGCAGGGAATGGAAATAAATTTACTACAAAAATATTTTATCTCTCATCACTGAATTCATCTGGAGAAAGTCCAAATATTATAAATAAATAACTGAGGGCACCTTTGGGGGTGGCCTGATGTTGGGCACCTTTTATCGCATGTACAGGGGGAAAATTCAAGAGTCATTAAATTCCCATGTTTTTTGGTATCTTCCGTAGAGTTTACACAAGATTGGTGAAGGTGCCGTACTATCGAAACTGATAAACGTTTTGTGATAACTGCCAAAAACGGCGTATAATGTAGATGCCAATCTTAGTTTTGGGCACACAAGTGCTATTTAGATCTTTAAATCGATACTTTTGACTGATACCCTTTTTTTTCATGAAGGGCAGTGGGCCGTCGCCGCTTGTATAGCAGCAATGCTGTTTGCCTTGCATGCTGAGGAACTCGACGTGGAAATGTCAACTAAGTGCCCTGAAGTGGGTTCATGGTACAGCCTTGCGCATGAGTATGATTGCACAAAATACTATTCATGTGTTGGAGGACGAAAGATACCCCGTCAGTGTCCGTATAAAGATGCCGCAGGAAATCGTCTGTATTTCAATGAAAAAAAACAAGTGTGTGATTGGCCAGCCAATTCAGGCTGTATAAATAAAGACATTACAACACATAGAATGGCTTCAGACCCAGTTACCACGGAAGTGGAAGAAATTACCTCGCATCCAAACGTATCAAACTTATGCCCCCCTAATGGCTCGAAGAACGGAGAGTTTTACCGCCATGAATTAAGTTGTGAAAAATACTACATCTGCTTCGATACCAAATTAACCCTTCATAAATGTTCACGAGGTGAACACTTCAATCTACAACGTCACACATGTGATAAACCTGAAAACGTCAACTGTTCGATACCGCCAGTGACAATTGAGCCACCAGGTACCAGTTCTACTGAATCATCAGTACCAACTGAGTCTTCTCCTGAAACACCAGTTACCAGTCCTAGTGAATCATCATCAACTGAGCATCCTTCTTCGACATCGGCTACAGTTCCTACACAATCTCCATCAACTGAGCCTTCGTCTGAAACAACAAGCACCAGTCCTAGTGAATCATCAACTGAGCATCCTTCTTCGACCTCGGCCACCGATTCTACACAAACTCCATCAACTGAGTCTTCGTCCGACATACCGCATACCATTTCTGAATCGTCATCAACTGAGTCATCTCCTGGGACGCCAAGTATAAGTTCTGCTGAATCGTCAACATCAACTGAATCGGCTCCTGAGACACCTAATATCAGTCCTAGTGAATCATCATCAACTGAGAATCCTTTTTCGCCACCTGTTACCGATTCTACGGAAACTCCATCAGCAACTGAGTCTTCTACTGAAATACCGAATACCATTCCTACTGAATGTCCCAAAGAAGATTCTGATAAACCTGTTCAAATCCCTCATCGAAGGAATTGTTCTTTATATTACGAATGTGTCAAAGGAGAAAAAGTCCTAAAAGAGTGCGGAATTGGATTGCATTTTAATCCAATTTTGCAGGGGTGTGACTGGCCAACAATGGCGAAGTGTGTTCCAAAAATCAATGCATGTCCCGACCATGGAAAAATCGCGATTCCTCATGAAACCGACTGCTCTCGTTACTACGCATGTGATAATGGGAGGCAATTATTGGAAAGCTGTGTGGCAGGACTCGCATTCAGTCCAAACCTCAGTATCTGTGTTTGGGCAGAAGACATCGGCTGCACCGCTGTGGTGACAAGTGATGGTTTCGACGAATTAGTAAAATCATACGACCTTGCGTCACTTGAGCTTGAATTATATCAGCTTGATTCATATGATTTTAAATCTTACGATTCCTTGGATGAAAAATCAGAAGATGATCCCTGGAGATGCAACGGGGGTTGTCTCCAGGAAAATTAAGCTGACGTTCGGTTTCCCCACGAAAAACGCACCTAATTCTACAAATGTTCCAATGAAAAATATCTGCAATGATACCTCTAAAGCAGGCTGCAAGAAGTAGCAACCAACTTTGTGGAAATAAGTTCTTGCCTGCCTCCAACTTGATGGCTGGAGAAGTTTCTTCATTGTGAATTTTACATTCCTGCCACTTGTTCAATTCGGTGCAGTTATTGCTGCTACTTTATAAATATTTGATCAATAAATTGATTCGACCCATGTTTTATTCTTATTTAGAGATGTCATCATTCACAAGTTCAAATATTCGATTCGAGTGCGAGTTCATATCAACTTCTGGTCTATCTGATTGGTGCAATGGGATATGTTGGAAAAAATTGAAATTCCGATACCGTTCAATGTGATACAGGGGTAAAAATGATAGATTTTCGACTTTCATTGAAAATTCCATGAAATTTCAAATTTTTGAGCTGCAGGAAGACAAGAATTCAACCAGAACATGGAAATTCCGTACCAAATAATTTAAAAAAAACTTAGCTTAACAAATATATATATATTTCTGAACTTTCACTTAATTGAAAATTCAGAAATATATTCACTTGAATTGACTTATTTCTAGCACTTTTCATAGAATAGTTGAATTGAAACTTACAGTTTCCAATGATTTGGCTATAAAATTTTGAATTTTCCCTAACGAAACTCTTTGAAATTTCAGTGAAATTATAATGTGATGAAAATTTCCATGAAGTGTACCGTCAACTTTAGAAGAAACATTTTTTAACAGTGAAGTTCGTCGGTTCAAATGTAAGAGATCCAGAATTCGAAACTCGTTTAGGTAGAAAGGTGTGATGTGTTTATAAAATTATTCTCCAGTTTCTTATTTGTAACGATTTACATCATTTGTTCAAATATTCAATCCTGAGGAGTTCAAGAAGGTATCAATGTGTTCGAGAATATTTCTATTCAATTTCTTCAAGATGACTTTGATTTCATAAGGTAGGAGGAAGCGTTCACTTCGCATACCTGTTAAAAGTCTTTGACGGTGTTGCTCACCCCTGGGACAGTGCCAAAGCACATAATCGAGGTCTTCATCCGGATCACCACAATCGCAAGAGGAAAACTCAATGAAGCCAACTCTTTTCAAAGAGCTAGCGAGCTAGCGAAATTGGAATTCTACTCCGTGCAAGTTCACTGTGACGTTTGTACCAGGGTGTTCTGTTCCTAATATAATATCCGTTCAAGTATTCTGTACCAGTCTCCAAGCTCATTTCAAGAATTTTTTCTTCTGTGTTCTTGAATGATTCCCTCTTGAATCCCTCGGTAAAATCGGAGAAGGGAAGCACAACTTCAGCATCATGTGGACGAGTTATAGCCTCCCCTGCCAAACGATCTGCTTCCTCATTACCGTCAATGCCCATGTGAGATATGGGATCCAAGTAAACTTCAGTGATTCCGGTCTATTATTAAGCTCTATAAAACTCGAATTTTTCTTTGACATTGAGAATAGAGAGCTAAGATGAGTCTTAGAACTAAAACTAAAGAATGTTTCGCAACAATTAAAGCTCCCTTATATAATGATCAGTAAATGCAAGAATTGGTTTTCACACTAAAACAGGGTTCGGGAAAATTGTAATTTGAAATTACCATTACTCTATTACTCAGTCACTCAAGTATTTGAATGTGAAATTTTTTTATTAGTAGGAAAATGAATGACTCAACGCCCTTATTACAGATTACATAAGTAATCAATAACTGAATCGCTGTGAATATCCATTACGTTGTCATTGAGTAATCGTCATTAAAAATTCCAAATTATTTCAGTAATTGTTAATGAAAATATAGAATTGACCATTATTCTTTCGATCGGTATTTGATATTCAGCCATTTCACATTAGTTGCTCACTGTTAAAAAAATTTCACTGAAGTTTCCAGGCTTTAGTCTTGACATATGAAACAAGTGACGGTTTCATTGAAATTTCAGGGAATTTTACCGTTGAAAATTCATGGTTTTCGTGGAAAATTCATGGAAATTTTAAATTTCAGTTAAATTATTCCATAAAAATTAATGGAAATTAGGAAAATTCAAACAAAAATGTCCTTGAATTTTCAATTTTTTGAAATTTCAGAGCAATTTCTTATTGAATTATCATGTTTATATTGAAAATTCATGGAAATTTCGGTATTTTCATGGTTCTTCCACTGAAAAATCAGGAATTTCCTTGAATTCAGAACTGATCAGGTGAAAGTTTCATAGACTTTCTCCGTTAAATTGAATTTAGTGTCATTTTCTGGAAAATTCAGGTAAATTTTTTCAACATTGCTTGGCACGTCAAGTGAAATATGAATTTTTTACTTCTTTGGATAATCGGTAATTAAATTTTAATAATACATATTTACTTGAAAAATGAGTAATGATTATCAGACAATTTTCTATTACTCATTCAATCATCAACTCCAATCTGAAGTTATCCAATTCAGTCGTTAACCCTAGTTTGGTCACCTGACGGGAACTTGCGACTCTGGTCACCTCCACGGGGATTTCCCGCCGTGTTATTTAGGCTCCAGCGTTGCCGAATTCACTCTACACTGCCCGGGGGCATTTAATGAGTTTCCAACAACGTCGCGCAACGGGCAATTTCATTTAACATGGAAAAAAATTGTTCAACTATTGGAAATGATTTTTTTTCTTTCAGAATTTGGGATGTAATATTAAAAAAAACAATACTAAAATTTTCCAGATACTTTAATTGACGAATTAAAATTTTTTCGGATTTTTCCGGTCAACCAGTCGGTGACAAGACGAAAAAAACGACACGTTGCGGCAATTCCCTCGCATGGTGACTAATGTAGGGTTAATCAGTGTTACTGATTATTCTTCAATTGTTGATTGTTCAACGATTAATCAAAATGTTGATTTATTCAATTTCTCGAGTAATCATCAATGGAACCTATCAATTATGTAGTTACACAGTAGCCTGCCAAGCTAAAACGCAATTTCAGAATTCACTACAGACAAATCAAAAAACGATGGTGTAATATATGACAAGACTATAGGAATTTTTTCAGATTTTTTGCGATATTTTTAGACGTTGCCAAAACGATTCAAAAATCTTATGGGATTATGACCGTGAAGAGAGGAATAAAATCAAAATCCCTGATTTTATTGAGAAGATATTCATATTATTATTCTAAAATTCCAGCACGTGTTTCCAAACGACTGACGAATGAAGCAAATGTTTTATCACGGTCCTCGGGTCATTTTTCATTAAATTAAAAGGCCGAATTATCGCTCAAAACAGGGGTTTTTAGGCATGTCTCAATGCCTCACAACGTGTCGAATCCTTTCCGGATTCTCTCAAATGATTGTTCAACTATCTCTCCATCGTCTCGTGAAACAATGGATATTTTACCTTATACTCAATCAAAGAAACACGCAAAAGAAAATTCTGCAATTTTCGGAGGGTGACAAGTGCTTGGATTAGATAGTGCCATTATGAAGGCCATATACCTGAAATGGAGAAGGTCAGTCCGCTGGCTCGCCCTCCCCTCAAAAGGGACAGCCTTTTATTACCCTCAATATATTATAAACTGCATTTTTGTTACTAGAATAACATTTTTTATTATTTTGCGTGTTAAATAACAAAATTCACATGATGGTATCACCCGTATTCCAACGATAACAACAAAACTTGAATGGAGGAAATATCTTAATTTGAAGTGATGACTGGTCTTTACGTAATGCCCCCTTCTCGTGAGCACTAGAATAGTGATGGTGTTTTCTTCATGTTCTGCTTTTGCTTTCCAGGGTGAGTAATCCAAATTCCTCTGGATTCTTTATCCAATTAAGTTAAAATCACATTAAGTTAAAATCACAAAAGTTCCATTTTGAGAAAATTGTTTATAAGCCTACTAGTCGGGGGGGTATTTCAGTGTCCACTGACTGGGGCATTCAATGACTTTTACTCGTAGCTATATATTCACGAGGGTGCTCAGCGCCTTTTCAGCATAAAAATAGAAGGAAGAATTTTCTTTTCCTTAAAAACTTTGTTATTATTTAAAGTTTTGTTTACGTTAAATTTTTTTTTTCAATGTTAATAAATACTTTTTTAATTATAACTGCATTTGTTTTTTTTTATGACAGAATTCTGTTCAAATTGATTCTATCGATTCAAATAGATTGTTTCTTTGATTTCATAAAATTGTTTCTTCCAATTAAGTGAAACTTTGTGATACTAATAATACATAAATTAGAGAGGAAAACGGGGTGAACTAGACCATGGGGTGGAATGGACCGTTTTAATCGTAAAATTCATCTTCAGAAGACGAAAATCTACTCGGCATATTATTTGGAACGGTTTCATTGTGTTTTCAGAGGCCCAAACATCAAGCGGGTTTTTTTTTTAAAGATTAGATCCTCTGCAGTTCTCCCCCCTCCCCTTTGCCGTACCTGATTTATTTGATCCAAATAAACGTTCATTCTGAACGAACAAACCATTTATTTGATTCCAATAAACGATGTATTTGGAATGAATAAACAGTTCATTTAGATTTAATAAAAGATTTTTGAAATAAATATTTTATTTATTTCATGTACATAAATTCATTTAGTTGAAACAAGTAAATGAGTTTATTAATTTTTAATAAATATATTCTTGAGTCGAATTAAATTTTTTCAAATAATTACTTTTATTTGATTTAAATGAGTCATTTTTCTGGGTGTAGTCTCAAATAAAAACGTGAATGAGTAATTTTGTCGCATAAAAAAATGGATATAACATTTATCAACTATTCTGATGNAATATAACATTTATCAACTATTCTGATGGTTCAGAAATATTTTTCAGTGTCTCAGCTCAGGTAGTCTCGGGAATAAGTATAGGCAGACCTTCTATGTCCGAAGATGCTCACTCTTGGTACCTGGTGAAGGACTGTCATAAAGCCATAAAGCCATTTGACTTTTCACCAACCTCCTTAGTGGCAAATTGCCACTAGGTCAGATATTTTTGTAGAATTTTAAATCGTTTTGGCAACGTCTAAAAATATCGCAAAAAATCTGAAAAAATTCCTATAGTCT